TGAGCATTACGTTAAAGATCAAGTAATCAACGTAGGCGGTACGAAGTTGTTTTTAAATCATCAGAAGAGTTTAAATTCTTTTGAACTGCTGGGCTTCTTAATTTGACTACATGCTCGTCGTATTTGGAAGTCCCAGTGTTCAATTTTTTTGGAAGTACGGTCGTTCAAGATATTTGAGGTCCTAGCTTTAAAAATTTTTTTCCGTGTAGATCGGAAGCATCAATTCAAACGGGATTGAAAGGATATTTTTTTGCCAATTATTTTCCATTTTTTGGCCTTTGAAATAATTTTTTAACCGCAACACCTAACAAGAAACAATGGTCCTGCTGACAGGAGGCTCAAGTCAGCGTAGCCAACGCGATGTCTGTCGAACGGTAGTGGGAAGAGGCTCGTGAAACCCTACGCCAGGCCGGACTAGACCCCCGTTCCACGGGGGCTCGTCCTCATTGCTGCTGGTGGTGTAGTCTGAACGGAATAAAAGACATCAGAAGATTTCCCCGCCGTCAAGAACACCACCTGTGAAAGAGGGTGGACGGAGGCTGGGTACGTCATACCTAGGACCGACTAGTCTTCTTTATTTGATTCTTAAATTTTGTGATTTTTTTCTAGTTATTCCGATATTCCTTGTGTTTTTTTTTTTTTTTTTTTTTTTTTATCATGTGCTCTCTTTTTCTCTTATCCCTCCCTTCGAGGGCGTAAATCTTTTTGTATTCATACCTCCGAATAAACGAATCATGAACTAAATCATGAGGCTTCAATTTCCTTATCCGTCACTTTCTTCGACGAGTCAGGCGAACGTAGGACCCGCAAACCCTAGGTCATAGTGTTGTAGAGCAAGTATCCAACGTCTAGGAAGGAAGTGTCACGGCGCAACCGCGTAGAGTTCGCAGGATCGGGGAGAGGAGACGGGAGAGGTGATGCGAAGCGACGGAGAACGGAGCGAGTCGAGGCAGACTAGCTTGGGAGTCCGTGCGAGGCAGCAGCGTAGCGCGAGTTTTAATACGTGATCGAAAGGGAGGTTAGGTGCACCAACGACGGTCGACAAAGCGAGGAGAGCCAGGGTCGACGACGCCCGAGTACCCGGAGTATTTTGTTTACACAAGCCAGGTCAAGACCAAGGAGTTTAGCTAGTGGGGACGCCCACCAGTTCCTCCCATATGATCAAGGGATTCCCAGTATAATCCGCCACCTTCAGCGTCTGCGTTAAAACAAGTAAGTTGAGGAAAGCGTTTTTGCGCGCGTCTTTTCGTTTTGATTCGCAAGGTCTGCTTGTCACGTAAGGATTAACTTGTGCGAGAGTCAGCGGTCTTGTAGATCAGTTAATTTTATATGATTCCCCGTTACGGTATACACACACCCACGTGGATATAGATATAAATTTGTGTTCTTTCAATCTTCAATATATACTATTCTTTTCACATAACTAAGAATATTCAAGTAATCAATTATTGATTCCGTATATGTGTGTATTGTACCCACCCCGAGAATCCCCTTAACCCGTACTTCTGTACGTTATTAGATTTTCAGTGTTGCCTCTAGACCTTGGTGCTCTGCGGGGACGTCGCCGTAATCCCGAGGCACTTGACTACACCTACACAGTGATAGGGGCTTGAAAGCAGGTAAATCGACCGGCGGGATCAACGAGGAGTGACGAGGAGGGTTTTCGGGCCTAGCCGCCCGATCGAGATGCAAATAAGTAGGTCGTGAGATCACGTCCTCTTCCCTGTGTTACCTTCCCCTGCGCACCCCGTTACAACACATTGAAAAACAATAATGCCAAAGTGATGAAATTTACTTTCAAATAGTCAGAAATTCCACGATTTTATTTATACGAAATAAGATTTTTATGTACACTTAACTTGCATTAAATTTTTTTCGATTAACTTTATGTATTACAAAAAACTAGCTTATGTGAGTAACTGCAAGACTCTCCATTTTCAGACCTACGGCACTGCCACTCTTAAAAGCGTAAACGAATTAAGTATCAGAACGAACAAATTTCGTTCAAGTTTTGTATTTTCAATATCATGAAGAAATAATGACTCTCTTGGTGATGCTATCAAAATCCTTTATTGCTGTGAACAACGTTTCGGCCCGTACAGTAAACCACGTTACAAGGCCCTCATCAGGTACAACTTTCTACATAACAATTATAAAAGTATAAAAATATGAAACAAAAATATTTCAAGTCAACAATACTTTACAAGAAAATCGCACAATAATGAACACTCACATAGCCACGACAATAGCGACTCTAGGTATCACGATAGATGGTAGATCGAAAAATACGCACTTCTTAAGTTCCGATCGTGCTTATATACTATCGGTCAGTGTAAGTGACTCACTTTACATGAGTATATTTAAGTCACACAACGCTACAGCCACCCCACCCCAGTACAAGTCAACGAATTCGCATATTTAAATTACAGTAAATCTGATGCTCTATGTGTGTTCGGTTATAAAATTTTTGTAACATAATTTCAAATTTTGTGTGTCATGCATTCTGTTGATATTATTTCGGTAACTATGTATGTATAGCATCTCTGAGAAAAGTCGCTTGAACCTATTACTTTCCGTGTCAAGAATTTTTACTTCATCAAAATTAAAAGAATGATTCGTTTTAGCAATATGGTCAACCAATGCAGACTTTTTCCTACGATGCTTACAATCATTCGTGTGTTCATTTATTCTGGTTTTCAAGCGCCTGGAGGATTGACCTATGTAGCAACTATCGCAATCATTACATACAATTCTATATACAGCGTTACATCTATCTGTGTGTTTGATTCGATCTTTGCCTAACCGAATAAATTTCGAGAACTTGTCAATACATTTAAAAATTACGTTAATATTATTTTTATATAGATATCTCTTAATTATAGAGTCAAAGCCTGTGAAGGAAGGTAATATCATGAGACCCCTATTGTTAGAGACCACTCGATTTAAAGGTGTATTTATAGACAATATTGTCAGTCTTTTTTTGATATATTTGTTAATAAAATTTAACGGATATTGGTTATTCAATAAAAATTTTTTTGAAATGTCTAAATTTTCCTTATGAAATTTGCTATCCGATAATTTGATACTATAATCGACTAGGGTTATAAACAATGGCTATTTTTTGCGATAAGGGGTGATGGGAGTTATAATTTAAATAACGTCCAGAGTGGGTCGGTTTTCTGTACCAGTTGGTTATTATGGANACTTAAGAAGTGCGTATTTTTCGATCTACCATCTATCGTGATACCTAGAGTCGCTATTGTCGTGGCTATGTGAGTGTTCATTATTGTGCGATTTTCTTGTAAAGTATTGTTGACTTGAAATATTTTTGTTTCATATTTTTATACTTTTATAATTGTTATTTAGTAAGTTGTACCTGATGAGGGCCTTGTAACGTGGTTTACTGTACGGGCCGAAACGTTGTTTACAGCAATAAACGATTTTGATAGCATCACCAAGAGAGTAATTATTTCTTCATAATAATTATCTGCTATCACGAGAGCCACTGACGAACTATTTTCAATATCCTTTAAAATTAGTATACTGTTTAGGAGGAGTCTGAAAGATTTTATAAAGTAGTTTTAATTAAAAATTAAAAGAAAAAGCCATTTGAGCAAAAAGGTACAGATACGCTAGAAGGTACAGTTTTGAGTTCAACCATACAGTTAAAAAAATAAACCTTTACTAAAGAATGATTGTGTTACGCTATATATGGCTGGATTTTCTAGTAAAAATTAGACCTCCTCAGCCACATAGTAGTATACATTTTTTTATTATAACTGTTTCAAAATAACTAGCAAAAGAATATCCCTTAAATCTTGATTAAATTGAGGCTACAGGTCTTGAAATACAGCGGTGGCTACGCTGGCTTCAGCTTTGAGTCAGCATGACTATCGTTACTCGATGATGGTAGCAGCAGAAAAATTTATTCTTTGCTAGAGGAGTAGAAAATAATAAGCAAAGAATAATGCCCTAAAGCCCGTTTTCATAAGTGTAAGAGATCCGGAGAGACATCGCGTTGGCTATGCTGACTTACGCTTCATGTCAGCAGGACCATTGTTTCTTGTCAAGTGTTGCGATAAAAAAATTATTTCAAAAGCCAAAAAATGGCAAATAATTAACAAAAAAATATCCTTTTACTACCGTTGGAATTGATACTTCAGATCTAGAAATACAGCGTTGGCTACGCTGGCTTCAGCCACGAGTCAGCAGGACCATCGTTACTCGACGATGGTAGCAGCAAAAAAACTTATTCTTTGCTAGAAAAGTAGCAAATAATTAGCAATAATTATGCCATAAAGCCCGTTTTGATTAGTGTAAGAGATCCCGAAATATTACATTGGTTACACTGACTATATTCTCAAGTCAGCAGGACCATTGTTTTTCGGAAACGGCTAAGCCAAAAAAATCAATTCTTTAGAAAAAAAAGTAGCAAAAAATTATGGTGTAAGTTAAATTATGGCCTTATGACTTGGCTAGGCTATAGCTTTATAGACACTATTGTAACGTGACGTCAAGCTGTGGCATGGTGAAATGTAGTGTAGAAAGTATAGAAGCTAGGAAATACCACTCCTACACTTTAAGTTTTTCTTTTTACATAGTTACTTGGACATTTCTTATAAGTTTTATACTTTGTTGAGAAACATATTACAAATCAAATAACAAAGAAAATGGTTACCAAGGTAGTTTGACGTAAAACAAAAGTCATGATATTCAATGAACAATGGTACAAAACAAAAATTCCTGAATAAGGTGTTAGTGAAGCAGGCAGGCAACGGGATAGAATGAAAGACTCAGAAAAATAACTAAGGCATTTTTTTTCCAGGCCAAGGGATTATTCATAAATACATAAACAGACAGTAAAGCAGCATGAGTGGTTTTAAGTATTGTACAAACACAAGCCTACCGTACCATGAATCTTTTATGTGTAAATTTACAATCAAAATAAATTGACGTGCAATATAAAATCATGTAATTAACAACTAATGTGGTATACGAACATATTTTTTGGAACTCAGCCGATCGCCTTGAAACTTCTTCAACATATTCCCAGAAAAACTTGGGATTCTCGTCATTTAAATACTCAGCAACTTCCAGAAATACAGGTGTATCTTTCCATTTTGCGTTAATCAATGTAGTAACATATTTGTTTACTTTTTTTTCAGATGCAACCAAACATCCAGTGGCGGTAAGAAGGTAGAACACGATAATGACCAGCATCTGAAACATGGTATTGAGTACTAATTTATGTAAGTACTGCTAACTTGTTCTATTTATCTATTGAAATTACTTATTTGCATAAATATGAAGGAATGTGACATTTTAATAGACCTACCCTGATGAATTAAAAAAATATTGCTAGACTAAAAATTTTAAGTGGCACTTTTTCAGTTGTTTCTGTCACTCGTTCTGGATTACAACACTGTACACGTGCTCATCACCAGTAAAATATACAAAATTATACAGCGGCATTATTCAAATTTGCCATATTAAAGGCCCATTCAGGCGCAAACATCTGTGAGTTTCGGAAATAAAGACTGCTCGTTTTCGTGTACGGCGCTGAAGCTACAGAAGAAGGAAACACAACATCGAACGTGGGTTGCCATGCTCGAAAGTAGCGTGAAATTCAAATTGGCTATATTCTATATATTATACATTGTATGTATTATAATTTCTAATATAATAAATTAAACCCCAAGCTATTAAACCCAATTACCCACTGGTATTTAACCTAGCGACCTGGAACGTCTACTGCACACTAGTTATTTATAGCTTACCTGATTTAGGAAGTGACCTGCAAGCGCCCTAGGTTGCTAAGTAATAAGTGCTTTTGTTATCATTTGAATCTTTAATAAATGATAGTTACCAGTAGGTGCCTCGGGTTGTGTGGTGATTGGCGCTTGTGTTATTTTAATTATTTTATTAATTAACAAAGTGGCCAGTAAGCGCCCCGAGTTGTGTGGTGATTGGCGTTAGTCGTATTTTAATTATTGAATCAATTAACAAAGTGGCCAGTAAGNTTTATTTCTTAAATACTTCCAGTTGTTTTTAATGGATTTTAAAATAATACTTTCACTTGTGTTGGTAAATAAGCTAACAACATCTAAACTAATTATTGTGTGATGTTGTGGTATTATAAAAGAATTCAATTTTTCTTTTATATGAAAACTGTTTTTTATGTATGAATTCGGTTTTGGAATGTTATCATTTAAAAATTTTGTAAAGAATTTTGATAAATTATAAGTAGGATAATTAACAGCAGAAACTATAATACGTATGGGATTTTCAGCCTTGTGTACCTTAACCAAACCATAACACTTCGATAAATCATTTTTGCTTATTTCGGACGATCGTATGTCGATCTTGCAATCCTCAAAAATTCCCAAGTCGCACCAACGTTTTACAAAAGTAGTTACAGATTTAATCAGTTCATTCAATGGATTTTTTGATAACTCTGTATAATATTAATCGTCATTTAGAGTAACATTATAAAGATTGAACAGCCACTTTGAATCATTGTTGTTGTTCGCTACAGGAGTGAGAGACGCTATTTGGCTAAACGATCGTTGACCCTCAGACGTATCGTCAACGCGTGTGTCCGAAGAAGGACTTTTAAAACTGTTATACTTTATGTCATATAAATTTTTCTATTTCTTATCAAGTTTTCGTTCTAAAGCTTGCAATTCAATTTTTAGTTTAAGAAATACACAGTTTTCAAATTGTAATATGATGTTATGATCCATATTCTTATGTATTAATGTTTTTTCAATTATTGATATTGAGTTTACTAAAAATCTTTTATGTGTGTTGGAATCAAATATTTCAATATTTAGGATCGATTTACTGAATCTAGCAATAATTTATTTATTTTTATGATTTGCATTTCTACTCTTAAATGCAAGATTTTAAAAAGACGGTAATCCATTTTAAATATGTTTAGGTAACAAATTGTAATATCTACATTTAACTAAAAAATTACAATGTAGTCTAGCTATTCGTAAACATCTGTGTACCTTATAAAACTTTAAAAAGAGTGTATGGATGTCACATCCGAATCGATGCTTGATCTGGCGTAAAATAACAGATACCTTGAGATCCATTCGTGATTTCATCGTTGAGACAAGGCGGGGAAGGCGAGGGGCTGTCCACGGGATTCAAAGATTCAAGAAATAATAACGATTCAATTGTGATTTGAATCTTGAATCACAACAAAAAAATTTAATTTTTTTAGTTTAAAAAAAAGAGATTAACAGTGTTTTACACTCATACAATATTGTATTTTCATTATATTCAAGCAAAAACTTCTATTTACTAGTATCTAAAGCTCATGAAAATCAGAAAAAACTAGCAATGGGCTTTATTGGTCAAATATCATTGTTATTATTTTGTAAAGATGAATTGAGACTGCTTTGTTTAAAATAAAGGTTAATGAACAGTTGCTGCATACAGTTTGGTGCCATGCTAAGGTCTAGATGAGTACACACATGTGGAAGCTCAATACTTGCTTGTACGGTGACGTGTGAGGTTTTGTATGGTCTTAAAAAAAGATGTTGACAGTATTAAAAATCCACTGTAACTCCTCTTCTGATTACCACAAGTTAATAAAGCACTTTTAAACGTTTTATCGACTTGTCTGCAAAATATTACATCCATACTGACTGTAGCTGCTGACACCTTTCAGCGAAGGCTTAAATTTGATCACTATGAGAGTTTACAGATTGCTCAGGACAGGGATTTAAAAAAAACTTCAATGTAAGACCAGTTTTTATATGAGTTTTGACAACAGTTATGAGGTCAGTTTTAAGACCAGTTTTGAGATGTGCTTTAAGATCAGTTTTGGGATGTGCTTTGTGACCAGTTTTAGGATGTGCTTTGAGACTAGTTTGGGGATGGGCTTTGAGACCAGTTTTGGGATGGACTTTCAGACCAGTTTTGGGATGTGCTTTGTGACCAGTTTCAGGATGTGCTTTGAGACTAGTTTGGGGATGGGCTTTCAGACTAGTTTGGGGATATGCTTTGATGATAGTTTTGTAATAAGTGCTAACAACTAAATTTATTCCTCAGCAATCTCACCTGCAGGAAAGTTTATCTTTGTGCTTACCACTAAGTTTTGAAAAACTTTTCACTATGTTGGGTTTACTCTAGCGTCCTGGGAAAAAAAGTTACACTGAATTTTAGTGTACATGTTTATTTTCTGTTCGATGTGTACCACGTTAATGACATGTGTCCTAATTGTTATTCTACATAAAAAAAAAAAAATCGATGTTTATGTAATGAGTATATTGATACAATACAGTATTAGGACAGTTTATCTTTTGTTTTTAGAGTAAAATGTTGGGTAATGCTATTTTTTTATTTTTTTATTTGTTCCAACCCAGATAACTTGTCGGAAGACAAGTTTTTTGCTTTAGAGTGCTTCAACTTATGTTAGTCGATATAGAGCAGGCTTCAAGACTCGTAATTGACCAGGCTAATGATAAAAAAAATTCGTCACCCTTAACTAACAAAAATTCAACTAAAACTGCTCAGTGCATAGTAAACAAAAATATCGCATACGAACAAGAATCTGCAAGTGCAGAAAATTATGATAGTCGCACACGATCGATGAATCAAGTAGAAATTGAACAATTACAAATTATGTGTAGTAATGAAGACACTGAAAAGGTCAACAAAATATTGAGAGTGGAAAATAATGAAGAGCTGCATAGCAAAGAAGAGATAGAAACAGTTGACGTTAGTTTGCAAGGTTGTTTTTCAATGAAAACTGATTCACCTAATTATAGTATAATAGCCTAATGTACTTTATAGGCTACACTTGCACATAATGTATTATAATGACTATCTATTTAAAAAGACTGCCTTATATTATGAATTAGAAAATGATTTGGATGGATGTATTATATTAGGTTCATTTAAAAGGAAAACGGTAGTAAATGAAAAACTATTGAAAGATTTTATAACGAAGAAACTATTGTCGGAAAATACTCAGGACTACAAGTAAGTTTGCCCCAATATAGCACATAATTACACAGTGGATGGTTATTGTACTTTTACTCCAAAGTTACATGTAAAAACGTGGATACTAGCCGTCATTTTTCAACTTGTCGATATTGTATCTAAATATAATTATTAAAAATATTTAGGCTTAAACTTAGCATGCGAAATACAGTTTTAACTCTTTTTCCGTGGGTATACATTACACTAAGTGTATTTTAGTTACAGCAATCTGCATAACAAATTTTTTTTCTATAGAGTTGACAAAAAACGATTTCAAAAAATAGTCCTTGATATCAAAGAACTCTTTCCCACTATTGACGTTAACGAATGGTATAAAGGGTATCACGAAGATGCTTTGGGAAATGAAGTACCAGCCTCTGGAAAGCTGTACCAAGCCTACAAGCGTAAACGTCAAGATTTAAGCTATGCTGGAATGATACCAGAAAAAAATACCAGAATAAGCAATAATAGTACAGAAGATATATCTTTGGGTAAGACAAAGTCCAAACTGAATTTTTTGGCAAAAATTTTGCGTGTGAACTAAGGTTATCTTTTTTTTCAACAGTTTTGCATCCTCATTTATACCTAACCACTTTTTTGACAATATTTCAGTTGCTATCAATTCTACGTTGGATTGTTTAATGTCTGATGATAGAAGTACATTTAATGTGAGTCTTGTTTCAACGACTTGGGAAAATTCATTTGAGGAACGACTCCAAATTTTAATACAAACTGTTAACAAAAAAAAAGTCATTAAGACTAACTCTTATTTAAACACATTCAAATGCCTTAATGGTCCTTTAGCTATATCGCTAGTTAGTATTATTTTACTCATCTTCAACTCATTAAAAATAATTTTTGGTCAATCATTTATTCCTGTTCCAGCTTCAGTTAGATTTTAACAAGATCATTACAGACCTTGTGAATAATAAACAGATACCAGAAAGTGTAGGCACCAATATTAATTCTGTTTTTGTCTCTGAATGGTCACGTTTGGCAGAAGCTATTGTTAAACATGCCAAAACGTCAAGAGCTGCTGCTGTAAAAGATTTTGTTGCTAGAAATAAAGAAACTTGGACAAAAGGTATAATGTTTAAACTGATTTGCTTATGAAGCGTGTTACAGACTAACTTATTTGAATTAATTACATATTAATTGGCAGAAATTGACAGTACTATAGCTTTTTTTGTGCTACCTTTCCTCTTTAACGTAACAAAAACATTAAAGCACAAGGAAAGAGGCATTATTACGTTTTCAAAGCAAGAAATATCTACTCACTTTATTCATCATGTGGCAGTAAGTAATTAAAATAATTTTTAAAAATCATTGTCAACAAGTTAAAACAATAACATATTTTTTTTTTATTAGAACATTGCAGAAGTTGACTCGTGCTAAACAAACTTCTTAAAGCAGTTGACTGATTTAGATCTGCCTCATCACCCTTTTTTAATATTTGTTGGGTCTT